AGATAGAAAAAAAAATATAGAAAAAGAAGGATTGAAAAAAGATAGTAAAAAAAATTTAAAAAGATGGAAAAAAAGATCAAAAAAGAAGATCAAAAAAGGATCGAAAAAAAAGATAGAAAAAGATCGAAAAAGAAGAATAAAAAAAAGATAAAGATGAAAAAAGATCGAAAAAGAAGGATCGAAAAGATTGAAAAAGAAGGATTGAAAAAAAAGATAAAAAAATGAAGATAGAAAAAAAGATTGGAAAAAAGAGCGACAAAAATAAAGATAGAAAAAAGGATTGAAAAAATGATCGCAAAAAAATTCAAAAGGAAGGATTGAAAAAAAGATAGAAAAAAAAGAGAAAAAAAGATCGAAAAAAAGAAAGAAGAAAAAAATCGAAAAACAAGGATCGAAAAAGAAGGATCGCAAATATTGAAAAAAAAGAAAAATATCGAAATAGAAGGATTGGAAACAAAGACAGAAAAAAGTACAAAAAGAAAGATTGGAAAAGAAGATCGAAAAAGAAGATCGAAAAAGGATCGAAAAAAAGATCGAAAAAAAATCAAAAAAGAGGAAACGAAAAAAAAAGATCAAAAAAGAAGGATCGAAAAGATTGAAAAAGAAGGATTGTAAAAAAAGATAACAAGAAGAAAGATAGAAAAAAAAGATTGGAAAAAAGAGCGGAAAAAAATAAAGATTGAAAAAGGATTGAAAAAATGATCGCAAAAAAATTCAAAAAGAAGGGTTGAAAAAAAAGATAGAAAAAAAAGAGAAAAAAAAAGATCAAAAAAAAAGATAGAAGAAAAAAATCGAAAAAGAAGGATCGCAAATATTGAAAAAAAGATAGAAAAATATCGAAAAAGAAGGATTGGAAACAAAGACAGAAAAAAAGTAAAAAAGAGAAAGATCGAAAAAGAAAATCGAAAAAGAAGATCGAAAAAGGATCGAAAAAAAAGATCGAAAAAAAAATCAAAAAAGAAGAATCGAAAAAAAAGATAAAGATGAAAAAATATCGAAAAAGAAGGATCGAAAAGATTGAAAAAGAAGGGTTGAAAAAAAGATAAATAAAAGAAAGATAGAAAAAAAAGATTGGAAAAAAGAGCGGAAAAAAATAAAGATTGAAAAAAGGATTGAAAAATGATCGCAAAAAAAATTCAAAAAGAAGGATTGAAAAATAAGATTAAAAAAAAAAGAAAAAAAAAGATCGAAAAGAAGGATCGAATAAGAAGGATCGCAAATTATGAAAAAAAGATAGAAAAATATCGAAAAAGAAGGATTGGAAACAAAGACAGAAAAAAAGTACAAAAAGAAAGATAGAAAAAAAGTCGAAAAAGAAGAATCGAAAAAAATTAGAAAAAAAATAGAAAAAAAACAGATTAAAAAGAAGGTTAGAAAAAAAGACAGAAAAAAGATCGAAAATACAGATAAAGATGAAAAATTGGAGACAACCGTTTGACAGTAGAATTATCTTGAACAGAGTCGTCGAAACCAAATTGAAAGTTAAAAATTGAGGACACGGGTAAATAGACATAATCAAATTAAATGAAAAACTCCTCCACCACCCCAAGTCCGCCAAGTCTGGTAGGCCAACTCTCAATCGTCCCCACATCTGGCCAAAAATCAATTGGCGATCTCTCAGCTCTCAATACTTTAATGCAACCTATCCTGATTTTTTTTTTTAGAAAATACAGTTTTGTTGATAGTTTTCCGGGCAGACCTAATATAGAAAAAATTGGCACCACTCGTCACGAAGTTCTTATTTTCACTCAGCTAGAAAAACGATTAAGAGAGAACTAACTGACAGATCAAATTCAGAGGCGGATCTAGGATTTTCTCGAAGGAGGGTTGACTTTCACAACCTAACTCTTTCGCCCCTTCCCCTTAATCCGCCCTTGATCAAAATCATGCCATGGACGAATTATATTATTGGAAAGCAACAATCAGCAACATCGGATTGAGTCAAAAATCAACTAATTCTCATTATTCTCCCATGAACTTAGCGTTCAAAATTGATAATTTTGCCTAAATAAAATCTGCAACAATTGTAGCCAACCCAATGCATTATAAAAAATTTAAAACGCTTTTCCCCCATTTTTTCTACAAATAGTGTCCTATTCTTTGTGCGTACTCTGAAAGAAGATCTGTACAAATGCATTGAAAATGAGTGAATTAGGCGTAATCGGCAACATTTTTATTCAAAAAAATGATTGAGAAACAAAAAATGAAAAAATGAGCGATAAAATATGCAAAAACTTCTATTTCAACTTTTTGCGTAGTAGTTTACAGAAATGTTTAAAACTTTTAAATCTCTTACTTCTAGTTTTCTTTATTAGAAACTCAAATTTTCTAAGCCTAAACTCAGCCTCGCAGAGTAATTTTCTTACGAAAACATTTAATCGATTGCTTTACCCGCTCAAAATTAGACTAAACATCGAAAATTTAAAAACAGTTTTTCTCGACATGGGGACAACTTTCAAAGTTTTTTATTGTAATTTATGTAGATTTCAGTGATTGCTTCTTTTGGTTTTATCTCTCTCTCTCTCTCTCTCTCTCTGTCTCTCTCGTTTAACGACATCACAAAATGGTCCCTTGTGTAGTGAATTCAACGGGAAGAGATTCACTACTAATCACAATCCGGAAAGAGTTAGGTTGGTGGCTTTTATTCGGTACTATATAATAATTTTTGCCCCTTTTGCCCTGCTTTTAAGGCTGTCTCGTCCGTTCTCACGAACGCAAGAATTTCCAGTTGCATTTAATTTTTGAAAAGTCCAAAAAGAGAAGGCTCTAAATGGCCAGAATTTAATCCCAAAATCTAACCGAAAAGAAAGGATCCGCGATCAGTCAACATAATTGCCTAACCGCAATTTAACTTCCGACCATTTCAACTTAACGATTCTCTTTCTCATTCCAGAGAATCCCAATTAACGAAATACATCCAGTAACTAAATACACAAGAAAAAACCCAATAAGTAATAACCCAAACATACACCAACACTCAGTTCGACCTGCAAAAATAATAGTGTTTTAAGGTATCAGTATTTCTTTGAGGTACTTCAAATGATTTCTTCAACTTCAAAAATTACTCTTCTCAACTCTGATGAGAACCAATTATTCTTTTTATTTGCTCTTCTTTTTCTCCAACTAACAACGAGAACCAACCGTTTGCTCTCACAGCGCAATTTTTCTCCCTGAGCATAGACTACTTGTAACTTTTTAGCTGTTTTTCTATATGGTTTTTAGTTATACTTACAATTATGATTGACCCTACAGGTCTTGAGATTTACTGCGGTACTTCTTTCTCAAGATCTTCACTGAATTCTTCCTCTGTGTCTCCAATTTAGTTGTGCAAATATCAATTCCAATTTTACAACTAAACCAATTAATGTTTATTTAGCAAGTCGTCCTAATTAGCAACTTTTTCAGTTAATTATTCCGTTATTTTTGAGCACCCAGCGTAGGGGAAGGCCCCTTTTTATAGGTCGCTAACTCTTTCCAAGCATGTAAGTTTCCGATCTATACTCTTTTCAGATCCCGAACTTCTGGCTATTGGGGAACGTAATTCGTTTATTAGGGGTCGAAATTGTGCCAAATGTTACAACCGGGAAGGTCCGTAAATATCCGATCTGTTGATTTTTTCAGGAGACCTACTTCCTATGCTAGCTTCTATTAATGCCAATTTTATCTGAGGCTACTTTTCACTAGTCTGATTGAATTTTGATTAATAGCTCACTCGCCAAGCTAAAATGAACCCAAAGTTTGCCCAGTTCAATTAAATTAGTTCCACTACTTCGATGTTACAATAGCGACCTAGATCCCGCTCAGCTTCTGCTCCACTTCCCAATAGGCATAATTTCTCCCAATTAAAAATAAGATGACTGGTTTTCGCTTCGAAAGGGTTGGGCTGGGGATACTCCACTTTCCGGTTTTAATTCCCGGGTTTCTATGCAATTTTGGACCTAAGCACCCAAAAGTCCATTAGGGGTAACCCCGGCGTCACTCGGGGCCAATCTTCTGTATTTGAGTTCAGAATCCCGAGAGGGTCCTTTCTAACAGGTTTCATCAATATCCCATTAATTATCCCATTTCTTCTGTCCATTATTACGGTCCAACCGTCAGATTTGGCTCAATTTACAAAACATGATGTTCCTTGTCAATCATTGCCTACAATATTTCAAAGTTTTTTCTCCCTGCATTCAGCGGGGGGGGGGGGGGCGAGGAATGACTTCCGGAAGTCGGAATTGGGACTAACTGCTGACGACATAACACCGGAAGTAGGGGTCCAGTTGATCTTAAGCTTCTCTTAACTAGGTATGTAACATATCAAAGTTTGGTCTCATTCCAAACGCTGGATAATGACTTTTAATAGGGCTATTTGGCTTCCAGGAAACGTTATCGTTTGGGGCATGGGGCTCCGAAGGGTCTAGGTTTTTGCATGACCGGGTCAAATCAGAGTTGAAATCAGAGTTTGGCGAAAAAGTGTTAGGACCACGATCCTACAGTTTAAATCAAATCTGAAAGAGCTTTAATGTGATATAATTCTCGATCCACTCTAATGTTTATTTGTTATTCTTGATTTTGCGTAGAAAACATTTTAAAAAAACGCAGTCAAAAGCAAATTCCGCCCCATTTCCCATTTTTAATGGTCGAAATCAAAATAACCTAGCACATCGAGAGGCCAAACACGAGATAGTTCTCGAAGACGAAGATGGGGATCCACTGGCTCGTGATCAAAACGAGATGCAAACTCGTTTTCTTCAATTATTTGTCACATGGATGCACTGAATTATTGTTCGTTTATACACAGCTTTGAAAAGTTTTCCAAATTAACCTATGTTATAATTATCTCCTTTTCCCAGGCGTTGGAATTATAAGATGACCTTGACCTTAAAAATGAAACTGTGAGATGGTCAAAGGGTAAAACATAAAATGAAATGATGCATTACAAAACCATTTGTCTTCTTTCAACTTTTGTTTAGTGAACGTGCGCGAAACTCACTTTACTATGGTGTTTTTTTAAGGACGAGAGGTCAACCTTGTTCCGCATGAGCTTCCAGTGGATCATATCCTGTCAGGTACAAATTACGCGCACACAAACACACATGATATTTCATAATGATGCACATTGTGTTTTTCTTTTATCAATTTTTGCAGTAGAGTAAGATATGGCATGTTATCTGTCGCCAGCCGTTCTATTTAGTTCCCACCAGACATGTGGTCCCAGCTGCGTTTTCCTGCCGAGCTCATGGCCTCAGTCTATGTAGTCAGTCCACAATCACAGACTGTAAGTGGATTCATGCACAACCCTATGTATCAACTTCCTAAGTTATGAAAATGGTCAGTGCGCAAGAACCACTTTGGGTCTATGTGCGGGACGGTTCCTCGAATAATTATGGCAAAAAGTGGATTGTAAATGGAATATATTTCAATAAGAAGTAGGTACCCGGGTTAAGCAAAACTTCTAATCTTACAACTTTTAGAAAAACTCCTCATCCTAAAACTTCTGAGTAGTTCACACGAACAAATATTGTATGAAACCTCTATGATATGCATTTTTGCAGGAAAATGGCGTGACAAGGACTCTTCGTACATTTAGTTTGCATGAGTAGCATTTCGTCATTCATATTTGAACAAGGATAGCCGGTTACTGTGCAAGTAGCACATAATGTTCCGACCATGGCCTTACAAAAACACGCGCATTTTTTTTTCCAAATTAGTGTAGTTTTTTCTGCGTGGTGTAATAAGGACCTGAACTACAACTACAAGTTAGGCATATTCGACAATCATAGTAAAACAGGCATTCTGGCAGGGGCGGACGAAGGGTCCCCCGTTTGTACTATTTTGAGATCTCCATATTTCATGACGGATCACAAAAATTTTCTTTGGCGCCATATAATTTTGAGGGGCAATTTTTTTGGTCAATTTGGTCAAAGTTTTCCTAAAAGTGCCTAAAAACGCCTTTCTTGGCCTGTTTTTCAAAAATTTGGCCTGTTTTGGCCTGTTTGGCCAGTTTGGCCAGTTTTTCGAAATCCCCGAAACCCCCCACCTCGAGAAAATCCTAGATCCGCCCCTGCATTCTGGACAACATTTTTTGAAGATAAAAATAAAGCATAAGAAAGGGTGCTTGCACGCTTCACTTGCTCGAGTTTAGACGAAAAGTCAAAAATTGAAACCGACTTTTCTCGGACACTGGAAACTTTTTTGGAAATTTTAAAATCTGGTTCAAATCTTGACTGAAAGGGTTTTAATTTGATATAGCTCCCAGTGTGATGATTATTTGCAACTCAGCGTGATGATTATGTGGTGCCTGATTTTGCGTGGAAAACAAAAATGAAAGACAGAAAAAGTAAAACACCCCCGAATACAAAGTTCCTCCGCTTTTTTCAATGGTCGGAACAGAAATCAAAAGTAGCATTTAAAGTTCCAATTTGAAATAAAGTGTTTCGTCTCAAAACTCAATAACCAAAAATTTTCTCATGCAAGAAAGAAGCTGGTTAAGTGGCTGCAACCAATATGTAAGCTGCACTGGGTGATTGCCATGTAAATTATTCTTATATCTTTTGTACAAAAAAACGCAATGTTTTGTGTGAGGCTAAAACCTTGAAAAAATCATCGGTTTAAAATAGTTGCCTGCTTTTTGATGATAACTGAAAAGTTGTTTTGTTCTTTTTTGATTGCGAGCTCACTTCTCTGCTCAAACAAACATTTCACGGAGAAGAATGTTTTTGCCTAAACGTAATCAAGGCTCCTTAATGTATGAAAGTGTAGGACAAGCAGTTTTTTGTGAGGAAGTCAACGGGGGTAAGAAACGTCAAAGGGTATATGAAGGGGAATTAAGTAGTACGTGTGCGACTAGAAAAGAAGGCCATTTCAAGTGTTCCGCTGTTACGCCAAAAACCGACCATTTCCGCCCAAATAGGGCGGCTATTCTTAGCAGCATATCGCATAAATTTAGTGTTGCTGATCACGTTATTTAGGAGGAGAGTTTAATCTCAAAATGATCCCCTTATTGTTCCGGCTTTTGTAGAAAATGGCGGAACCTTTCTGCTTGGCTTTTTAATTCAGTCGAATTTTGACTTTTTAATCAAGATTTTTTAACAACTTCTTAATTTTTTTCTTAAACTTTCAATCATTTTTATAACCTAACGGATGTTGTAACTCGCGTTAGCGGCGAAAAAAGTATATGGGGGTTTAAAACGCGTAAAAGGCAAAATATACCAATCCAAACTTACATGGGGTCATTTTATGGAAAAAAAAACCCGTTTGTCATGCTATTTTCAGACAATTTCTGTTCCGACCATCAAAAATGGGGAGAAACTATGTAACTGGGTGTTACTAGGTTTTTCGTTTTCTATGCAAACCGAGGCACACAACTCTTTACGGAATGCGTCTAGTGATATTTCTTATTAAAACTATTTCAGTCGTTATTTGATCAAGATTGAAAAGTTTATAAAAACTTTCTCAGCGTCCAAAAAAACCTATTAGAATTTTTTCATGACTTAAATTATAACTATTAAGGTGAGCAATGAGCAAACGAGCATGCCTTTTTGATATTAAACCAAAAAAATCTTACCGCAAAAAATCATCTGAATGAGTGGAGTGATTTATCACCTTAAGACCCTTTCAGTCCTGACTCGAAAAATCTTGAAAAATTTCAAAAATTTGTCCCAGTTTTGAAAACGTTTGGAGAGCCGACGGTTTTTTTACCATAAATTTTGCTCCAGGGTATTTTACCGGAGATTCGATAAGTAAGTTCAATTCCGTAGTTGCAAAAATTTTGAATCTTGTTTGAACATAAACCAGACGCTTGACTCATATGTAGTTTCCTAGGGTACCCGAGTGTTGTTTTAAATTTTCTTTTGAGTGCGTTCGTAGAGTTATTGCTTGAACAAACATAGGCCAATTGCCAGTGTGAAAACGCGTCAACAGCCACAAGATCGAACGTTTTGCGCCCGTTAATTGAGCCCCAAAAGTCCAGCTGCATGATTTTGTTAGGTTTCTTAGGTTAATAAATTTCGCTTTCATTTCCATTAGGATTTCAGGTTTAAGATCTTCAGCTGCTTCCAAGCAGTGCTTGTAGTGGGTCGTCTTGGCTTGATGATCTTTATCTCTGATGGCATCCCGGAAATTCGTGACGATTGGATCCTATATTAGATTGGCCGCGACTAGCTTGAGATTAAGCAATTCTGGGTATTATATTTTCTTGACTTTGCAGCCGTCTATAGGGACGATTGATTAGATTCAATTTTTGCTCTTTATTAGTGGATACAAGAACCCCAGGGAACTGCTGAGGGAAAGAAATTATAGTATTCAACTTTTTAGAAGTAATATTTTGAGGGGATAACTTCAATGTCCGAGTCTGAGCTAAGATCAGGCAATTGGCTGGAGAGTTGTTTTGGGACCACATTATGATTCGCGTTCACTGATTCGGGTTTTTCCAGGTATTTAAAAATTGATTTTTTTAAAATTAGAATTTGAAAGAAAAGGGAACAGATTTGAGTTTATGAGACCCGTGCACGTAACAGCATGAGAACAACGTCTGACCTTAGACTGTTTGTAATTGCATGCATCCTTCGGTATGCTAATTTCACGCATGTGATTGGCTGCGCGTTGGTTACATGACATCACGCCCTATTGCGATTTTACTGAATTCGAGTCGGCGTTTGCATATTCTTTTTAGGCGAATTCGCACATCCAGTTTTTCAAGTTTTTTTTCGGAATTTGCAATATGTTCAAATTTTGTGCCTTTATGCACAATTATTGTCATCTATGAATTTGTTTGCCTGTGAAAGTTTCTTTAGCAAGGTATCGATAAGCTTTTGAAAATCCCCAGGCATTGTTTTTAGTCCGTAGAAACCGTTTCTAAAACTGCAAGTTCCCGTCAATTCTCCCCCACCTTTAAAAGTTGCACTGTTTGCTCGTTTTCTAAAACATAGCTACTTGTCCGTACTCATATGTGAAGTCCAAGGTAGTGAAGAATACATCACTCGCCCGCTTTTCGTTCCGCAATTTTTGGATAATTCCGTCAACTAATTCATCCATGTTCAGCATTTCGTACTTAATTTTATGTACTTGTTTTTTTTTATAAATCACCTGGTTCCAATGTCAGTTTCATACTCACGTTTTCTACAGTGAATTTTTTTGCTGTGACACAATTTTCTTGTCAAAAAATTTTTGTTATTCATTGATGTGTCCCTCCGCAATTAGGAGCGCTATTTCCCTGTCTACTTTTTCCCGAAAGCTGATAGGGACTCTGTGCCCTTTTTGCTGTCCAGGTTTTTAACTTCTAAAAATTCATCCTTCACCTTCGGATCTCTAAGAATATGGTCGGAACCAGCTATTCTTATCTTTCTTCGAACTTGTACGATATTTTTGACACACGTGTGTACTTTTTTTGACACACGTGTGTACTATGTTTTTTTATTTCAAATTTCGCTTAAAAATGGGCTAAAATTACGTTATAAGAGCTCGGAAACTCAAGTCCAGAGTGTGTTTTTTCAGAGTAAAATGAAGCATTATTTTTTGTTTCGTGTGTCTCTTTTTTTAATCAATTTTTGCTCTATAAAGTTTGTTGTCTGATAAATTGAAAAAGTGCGTGATTTGTTGTTCTGCAGCTGCAGTCAAAAGTGGAGAAAGTGATCTCAGTGGTGGCAGATGTGATAGGAGTGAACATTCTTGGGCTGCATCCAAACAAAGAGCAACAGGTGGGCTGCAGATCAGACGATTCCCTCTACCCCTACGGTCACCTTCTCGCCACCCTCATCACCACTAGACTGAACAGCCCCCCTATACCTGATGCCCCCATTCCCACAAGTGACCACAGTCAACAGTCTCAACAGGAGGGAGAAAAAGCAGGACTAGGGGCCGAAGAGAAGCCAAGTCACATCCGTAGAGTGTTCGAGAATGCATACACCATCCAGTATTTCGACATTCACAGTCGACAGTGGAAACACGTAAATAAGTAGCGTAATACCTAACGAAGAGAGAGAGGGAGGAAGCGGTCACTGTGGTTAAGATTCAATACATAACAGTTGTGTGTCAACTCTCTAAATTATCTAGAACCAGAAAGGGAAACATTTTTCAGTCAGAGCAATGATTCTTCTCAAAAACAAGAGATTCTCTTTTTGATAGATAGATAGTACGACAAATTTTGATAAATAGTCCGAGTTTCAAAAACTCCTCAGCAAACAAAGATTGTCGATTCAAGCATGCCTTCTTTTTTTCGTAGAAATTATTTACAGTTACTTTTATCTGTTGGTAATGATTTGGAAGCAATGAATTAATAACCAAATGAAAAACTTCAGTCCTTAATAAAAAAAGAAAGCTCGTCTAGGTGCGAAATACGAAAAAAACCATGTCCACAACCCAGATATAATAGAAATTAATATACGTTCTTTAAACTTACAACAATATATACAATAAATATCATATGAACAAGCTTGGGCAAAGTCAGACAAGTGTTAATTTCATACATACCGTAAAGTTAAATGCACAAAGTACATGTAACTTGAACAGCATTAGTTGACAATTTGAGTCCGATACAAAATGCAATTATTCAGTCTGAACTGCTTTCCAATAAATTGAGTTATGTTCTTTGAGTTAACTCAAAGAGTAATTTCAGATAGGGTACACCGTCTGCTCGTCACGCTATCTTTTTTTCGGTCGGATAGATTCGTGCAGCTTCTTAGTCTAATACCGATCTTAATCTTACTCTTAATTGGCTAGTCTCTTTTAGTCTCAATAGATCTAGAATATACTGGTCGTTTGCGATTAGGTCTCTTGGAGAGGCAACTAAGTTCTAAGTTAAATTCAAATCTCTCTGGTGCTGAAATTACAAGTAATTTCAGCACTTACAAATAAGTGGGTTGTTAGTTAGATGGATCATGATTGAATAGTTTTAATTTTTTATACTGATAAAATATCCAATAACAAAATATTGTTTTAGATCTGGTTCCACCCATCCGGGGTTTACAGAGTTTTTGAATCTTTTATCTTCATCTGTAATGAAGGATGGAAAATGTCGTTGGTATTTGGCGAGCATCATTTCTTGTTCCGTTCTTGGAGAAGAAAACTCCAGAAAGCTAGAATCGTCGACATGAAGTTGTTAGCTGTTGTTCGACGATGGCTGCGACGGCCAATGAAATCAATCTGATTTCAGGATGGTTTGCTATGAATGTTCGTTCTCCTTCAGCAGAGGACTGGTTGTGTTTCGTTCTTGTCTGGGAAATGGCGTGAAGATTGAGTTTGGAGGGAATGCTTTGTAACTCGGATCTGTACACATACTTGAACATGGAGGTGGTCATTGGTCTTATCTAATGAATTCCTTCTCTGCGAATTCCAGTCGTACTTCAAATCCTTTTGAGTTGTGATTGTGAGCGGCATATCGGTTGTGTTTAGCCATTCCGTAGCTTGAGTGCAAAGGGGTCGTCTAGTTTCTTGATTCTCGTCTTTGTAGTCGTGTTTGATCTATATACTGCATTATATAATTTACATTTTTTAGTTATAAAAAAATTGTTTGTTAATTTGTTTTTTAGTTATGATTTCTATTAGTTAATATCGCAAAAGCGTTTTGAGTTTAGTTCTGTTATTTTAAGAGTTACTCACCCTTGAGTACCTCTTGTCAAAAATATAGAGTGGTCACAAATCGTGGGTGTAGCACGGTGGGTTAGGCCGGCGCCGGCTATAGAGCATGCTCAGGACGTCCCCTTCTGGCGGGTTAGGCCACGAGTGACGGTATGATTGCATGCTGGTTTTTTGTGTTAACCTTTTATGTTTTTTTATTATTGGTTTTTTCCTTTTGTTGTTTTGGTTGTGTCCTTTTCTTAAAATTCAAAATGTTTGGTTTGGGTTTGTCTTGTGATTTTTTGGTGTTTTATTATTTCTTTTTTTTTGACTTGTCAAACGTCTTCAAAAGAATAACTTATCTAGTTCTTAAGCTGGTTTAATCCGGTTATGGTACCGTTGGTTTTCTTTTCTTAGTCATGCTGTTAGTTTTATGGATACGGTGTTTAGTAAGCTGCATTGGTTAGTTTGGATTATTATATAATTCCATTCCAACCGGGTTAAGAGAAAGTTGGAAACTTGTTATCGCTTGTTTGAGTTGTTTCAGGGAAAATTAAAATTTAAATTCATTATTTTAAACAAATCGTCGTGGGCGAGCTGTGCGATTTTGGATAGAATTCTTGTGCGATTGAATATAAAGAAGCAATTGAAAATGTTAGTACTGCTTTCTTCTGTATGAATTTACTTACTTACATATTAAATTTTACTGCTTTGTGGGGGTTCAAATGATTAATTGATTTCCATCGTATTGAACTTTACTAAATTAGAGAAAATAATTTATAAAATAACTTATTGCTTTGGGGAAGAAATCTTACTGCATCATTTAGTGCTATTGATTAATGAAAGTCATAATTTATAAAAGAGTTTTGTATTTTTATTTGTTTTTTCTTGTTTTGTAGATGATTGTGATGTGGAGACTAAAAGAAAAAGAAAATATTTATAAAGAATGGTTAGTTGTGTTTTTGAAATTAGTTAATTTTAAATTATTTAATTCATATTTACCTTTTCGCCAGGAAAGAAGCCATGAGAGAAGATATTGTGAATAGCATCAGATGTGTTTGGTAGTTTTGCTAATATGCGGATGATATTTTTAGTTTGAAGCAGTGGCCAAAGCAACTGGAGTGCTTTAAAGGTTTTTAGTTTTTCGGTGCCTACAGAAAATTCGTGAGGTGTGTTTTGGATAAGCTTATAAAGTTTGTGATTATATTTAGTGTTGCGGATGAATTCTAAAATTGGTATTTCTACAGGTTGAATGTATTCATGCGGGACGATTAATGGTCGGGATTCTTCTACGTTGAAGGTTTTAACGAGGGGACAGAATATATACATTTGTGTGATGGGATCATAATTACGGAGGATGCCTTGAAAGTTAGTATTTTTTATACAATATGTGAAATTTAGGAAAAATGGTGAAGTATAATTAGAGTTAATGAAATGAAATCTATGATGGGGTTGTCCTGATGGTGTGTGTAGATCAAATATGATTATAGATGAAACGATAATAAGTGTTTTGTGTGTTTGTTTAGTTGGTAACATGATGTCGTGTGAACAGTGGAAATCACGTTCTTTTGGCGTGAGGAAATGAAAACTAGTGAAAAGATTTCAAATTTTTTATAGAAAAATTCGTATGCTTGAATATCGGATAGTGCTGCTGAGATGATGTGATCTTGTTTTTTGTCTAATATACTAAGTGTGAATAAATAAGATGTTTTGATAAAGAATTGTCTGTTAATTGTGGGTTAGCGAATCTGTCATCGTCAAGAAATTGATCTTGGTTAGCTCGGATGACATTGTGATCATAATACTCTGTTGAGTATTCGTTAGTGCGAGGTGCGGTGAATTTTTTTTAGTAATTTTTTAAATCCTACGTGCGTGAATTGTCAGGGGGTTAGTGCTGTAGTTAGTCTGAATAATTCGATTTTGTTTCTTTTGATTTCCTGTGAGGTGTTGAGGAGTGGTAAAGCAAGAGGGTTTGAAAAATTATACTAAGATTTCCAATGAAGTGTGGGTTTTAATACATGTTCGTCTACAAAATTATGCTGTTCGGGGTTAGTGTCGGATTAATTAAATGTATTTTGAGGAACGAAGGGTAAGGTTTCTTGGAGATAACTAGTAGTATTTGTATGAGTTGGATGATTTATATATTCTCGGGCGGTTCCGGGTTTGGATGGGAACAGGTGATTGGGGAATTTTCGTTTAAATGTTCTATAAGCACGTTTAGTACTAATGGATGACTGTGTTTATGTGGATGACTGATCTAGTCATGGGGTATACTCTGAAGTAGGTGCAGGAGTTGGTGGATTTGATGACGTTATTTTTGATGATAATTGATGAATAGTTAGGTGTCAGAGTATTGTATTTGTTGTTATAGTGTTATAAAATGGTTTAGCTCATCAGCAAATTGGGCAGTATTGGAGGAATTGTTTGTGGAACGGTCAATTGTAAAAGAAGAGTATGTTGGGGTTGCTTGGGAAACATGAGAAGGAGTAGAGGGGGATAGACAAAAGGTTTGAAAGTGGATGGGTTGAAAGGGAGGTTTTGAGAAGGTTAAAGGGTTGGGTTGAGAAAATGTTGAAGGAGATGGTTCGGAGTCTGCAAATTCATCTGGGGCTTCTAAATCGGAGTTGTTGAATTGGGAAATAGTTTGAAAAACTGATATCTGAATTAGCGTCAGAATTCATGCCTGATGATGTGTTGATGTGAGGTGAATCAGGTGGCGGGAAAGCAAAAAGTTGGATGATGGGAATTTTGGTTTGAAGATTTGCAGGGTGGAAATTTGAACGGTGGAGTGATCCAATTTGTCTGCTCATTGTGGGCTAAAAAAAATGATTATTTTGAGAATGAAAGGTGGGGCTGTTCGATGATTTGTTCATATGTATCGTCATTTTGAGATTGTTGTTTTACTATATGGTGAATGGGACTTTGTATATAATTAGGTCTTAAATTTGTGGAATTTGAGAGTGCTTAATTTCTAAAATTTCGTGATAATAAGGATAATGGGTGATTATTGTTAAGATTCGGTAATTGTGGTGCCGTAGGTGATACATTTGTATTGTTTGATTCGTCATATGTGTTCGGTTTTATTGATAGTTTTGTATAATAGTCTTTTATCTGTGGGTCTAAAAGTATTTTACTTATTGATGTTGAAAAAATTCCAAAAAATCCTGCAAATAATTTGCGTGCTACGCTTGCTTGTCGGTTAACTTGTGTGTGTTTTGCACATGTGTTATAGATTCCTTTCAAAAATGAGAAAAGAAATCCAATAAAGTTTAACATTGCGTTTAATATAGTCAATCTTTCTAAGGTGTAATAGGGCCAACCTAGAAAGGCAAGCGTTTCGTTTTTCAAAAATACGAAGCTAAAAATAATTATTGCTGAGATGTCTTGTGGTCCATATTTTTCGCCACTTAAATATATATAATCTTTAATATCTTTAAAACATCCGCTGTAGTCTTGTGTGTAAATGTCTGAAAAGCCTGCGGTTTCTGCAAGTTTGCGTAAATTTTGATCTACTGATTGTCTTTGTATCGTGTCCAATTGTATTAGTAGTTCTTGAAATTTTTGTGTGCGAATGTGATGTTGTATATCTGATTTAGAGTATATTTTTATCGATTGTAGATCGAAGTTTGGATTACGAGC